ATATATATATATATATATATATATATATATATACTATTTATATATTTTAATACTGTAATACAAATGGGATCAACCTTGTAAACGGAAACTAGCAAGCATCATTCAAAGCACATATGTTGTTAATCCAAAAAGTTCACTGTCATAAATTTCCTTACTGCTTAAGTTTATAATGACTTTTAAAATCTGTTTTCATACAAAACAACAGCTGGCAGGCAGTAAACCCTCAAATGCTTATTCTACTGCATGTATGGCCAACCTTTTAAAATACAACAATCAAAAATATGCAATTTTTAAACTGATAAAGAGACTTTCAAGAATGGTAGTTAGTAATGTAAAGTATCCTTGCAGACATTTTAAACTGATAAATTTAGATACATCACTAATGATGGGAAATAAGTTTATGCCATGTGATATCTGTATTAATAAATAGAAATATACACAATAAGTACTATCTGACCAGAAATTAAAAACATTCAAAATTTTCAAGTGCAATCCCACTGGAGCTACTTGTGACTTGCAAAATGCTGGTTGGTCATTCCTTGCTCTTTCAATACATTAGATGGAGCCTGTTCAAACCAACATAATTTCCTTGCTACACAAATAATCTATTCTCTGGGCCATAAGAGTGTGCTATGGGATCACATTTCATGAGGTTCATGGTCAATGCATAACATTTGGCATGTCTGCTCCTACAACAGAAATACTAATAAGATAATCCTAACACTCTACCAATTCCATCAATCTGTTTGTTTGCTTTAACTTAGTATGTTTCAGTTTATTGTACATACTCTAGATGTTTTTATTAGAAAATTTGACGATCAGATTTTTAAGAGAATAATGGTGTTGAACCATCAAAGAATCATCTTTTTTTCTTTTTTTTTTATTTAATGGTGAAAATAGTAGGACAAGTGGACTTTTAGTAGTGGTAGTGTAGGATGAGTTGATTTCAATGTGGTGAATACAGCAAATTTAAGGGAGTTTAAGGTAATGCTTGATGCATGTTTAACTGAGAAGTTATTAAATAGTTGTTTAGTGAACGAGACAGCCTCAATATGCCAACAGACTCCTTTCTTTCTTTAAATGTTAAGTAAGGTTTTGTGGCCTTGCTCAGATGTTAAGTCCATAATATTAATATGCTAATAGTATTATATTAATAATAATACATAGCTAAGACTGTGCCCTCCTGTGCCATAGAACTGGCAGTGGAGTACAGTAACACTAACACAGTCTTTATTAAAAAGTCAAATTCAAAAGTAGTAGTATTATGGAGTATTGAGTAGTTATAAAAGATAAAAGTTTGAGGTAACTTGTTAATTCAATATATATATATATATATATTGTTTACACAGGTGACAGAGTAAGCTTTATAACTAAACAAATACTAAAGTTCATGATAAAATTCCCAATCCCCCCCTCCCTCCCAAAAAACTAATTATAATATTCTTAGGCCTAGTATTATCGCAGTAATATTATTATCGCTTTCGGTCTTCAATAATATAGTAACACTAAGCCAAATAATATTAACATTAATAATGTCATTTATACTTTTATAGTCACTGTTATTGTTAGCGTAGTAACCATAACGGTTATTTTTACTTACCAATGGCTAAAAAAACAATATCAAAGATGATCCTTAAATATAGTTTTCTTTCTTCAGGTTGCATTATGCTTTATGTTTAGGGTTAATTATAAGATTGTTTTCTCAAGGATATACCGCTGGTACTACCAATATCACTATCACACTCTTTCGACCAATTACAAACTAGTATAATTGAACAAAGTTATTTAAACATTTGTTTAACAACAAGTATAAGCTTGCAAAGGTCTATTCTCTCATTGGGATGTGTCTGTGAGAAAGACTAGTTTCGGAGTATTCCACTCCTCATCAGGGAACCTGGACTCTACCCCCAATGAAACAGCGGACCAAACCAAGCCTTTATTGTCTCGGTTAACAATACGAAGAATTAAATTGTGGCAGAATGCTACAAGTTCTTCAAATACCTATAGAATGATAGGTTTCATTTTGTGAGTGTAGAACACTTAAATACACCATTTTGACAAACTAGTATGTTGTAATAAACAAATTCAAGGTCACCAAACTTTATAACACGAATACGTCATATTGGCTCTCAAACAAGCCACTCCTTAATCAGCCAATCAATGTTATGCAAAAACATGCTGTTAAAAAAGCTTAGTAACAGAAAGTAACGTACTGTTACGTCTCCGTTCGTTAGTTGATTTTCCGTAACTTCGTTCCAACGAAACTTTAGCGACACAAGTCCTTTCTTAATAAAACTTTTTTATTCTTTCCGAATACAACTTTACGATACACTTAATTTCAACAGTCGCACTATAACAAACGCTATATCTCATGTGGCCAACAATATTTTCTCTGACTGCAGTTCAATTACTCAATACACTGTTTTCCCGTCACGGTGTGACCGTCCTATATATATATATATATATATACAAGACTAACACACATCTAGACAATGCTAGGGCATTCTTGAAGGAACAGGATTATTTTAGAAAACGGGTAGCGTGATACTAGTACACGTGACCTCGCTGACGCAACAGTACCAA